CCCCTTATTTTTTGGCCTTCTTTTAAGATAAAAATGTGATCAAATGCAAAATAAAACTACGATGGAGATCAATCTTGGAGTTTTGGAGTCTTTATAAACAACTTGATTCTACTGCTGTCTGTTTGTTTGGATGCATCATAACACAGGTTAACCATCACTGCAAGCCACATCCCATTCATTTGCATGTTTCATAGTAGACAATGGGCAACAACTGACTGAACACCACAAATAAGGGTGGGGAGGACCAGGGTGAATCTGAAAGATTGGGGGGGGGGGGGAACAGGACTTCTGGAGCCACCACCATCTTTTTAGGAGAACCTCAGGTTAAGGCAACTCCCTCAAATGTCTGTAGACTGAAAAACAGTTGACCATGGCAATGGGGACAGGTGGGAAAGGAAGAAGAATGAGGTTTAATCTTTTGAAACCCTGGCTAACCTTCCAGATAAGAGAAATAACAACAATGGAGAAAGAGAGGGCACAGAGACCATGCCAATGGGGATATATGGAAAAGAAAAAAGAATGGGGAACTGGGCATGCATTAGAAAGAAAGAATATAGATACAGTTGCTATTATGAGAGGGAGTCACATAAGATACTAACGAGTCATTGAAATACAGATGACAGATGTAAGATACCTCATAAGATTTGGCGGGGAGGGTAGGGGACAGAGGAATGCACGAAGCTCTGAGGTATGTGTTCAGGCTGCAGAACTATAGCATACAACATACAATATATAGCAGAAAATGGGTTTAGTGGAGACTACCCTACTAGAATGAAATTAGACAGAAGGAGCCATGTTAGTTGGAAGTCAGGTAGAAGGCAAGGCAGAGTAGCACCCAGTCAGTTTGAGAGTTTACACACACCTGCATGTGCATACTGCCAATCCCCTCTCCCTAAACAAATTTTAAAGACCTGGTTCTCGAAGCAACCATAAATCTATTCCGCACATGCACAATCAATCACTGAAAACTTCATTCTCAGTTTCCTAACAACACCCTCCATATCTACTTCGTTATACTAAAAGCATCTCTTCCTTCATGGTTTTTGATGGTTTAGCTCTGATTTTTGTTGCACTAGTAAGTTGTAGTTAAGAAGTTTGCCATAATCAACTTACCTTATTTACTCAAGCCCAAGATGAGGTTCCCTCCCCCTGCATTTAACATGGAGAAAAAAGCTGCTCATCTTAGATTCAAGTATAGACAGGGGGACAGGTGACTGATGTGGCTCAGACTCTAGCTCTGGCCCTGGCCCAGAGTCAGAAATCAGAGCTGGAGCAGAAGTTATTGCCCCTGTCCCCCAAAGCCCTGCTGCCTATCCTCCAGTAATGACCTCAGCTCTGGTTCTACTCCAACTTGGGAAATGGAGGACATGGTTGCTCTGGACCCAGCCTGGCCATGCAGTTGTGGTGACAGCCCAGGAGCTGTCACCACCACAACTGCTGCTGCACGTCTAGGCTGGGGCCAGAGCAACCATGCGCTCCATGCCCCAGGCTAAAGTAGGACTAGAACCAGAGCTAGAAGGTAAGTGGTCATGGCAAGAGGGAGGGATGGGTGCCAGGGGGCACAGGCTTGAGGAGGGCAAGTTCAGGGGAGGGCAGGAAGAACGGGAGATGCAGGATCTGTACTACTGGATGCAAAGGATCAAATCATCAGAGATGTTGGAATCTGGCCTCTGACTCCAGCAGACATCATTAGGTGTACTTCTTGATCATCTTGGATAGTTTCAAACTCCCATTTTATTCTCTCTGAGCTCAGATTAGCTCAGCTCTCAAATTATGAATATTTATGATTTTGCACCCATAACAGAAACCTGATCTCCAGCTCAGGGAAAAACAACCGTTTGCTCATTAACTACTAATCCTGTGCTTTCAAATAGTTCTGGGTACTTCAGTTAATGGCCTTTCTTGGTCCCTTTGCATATGTACAGATACGTAAACATTAACTTCTCAAGTGTTTTATCCAGGTCTCTAAACTAAAATACTGGCCAGGAGGTTACAACAGCAGCAAACATGGATTATTAGGTGGGAGGGGTTATGTCCCAGGGAGAAGGAGTCTTGGTTTGTTGTTAACTTCTTGAAATTTCTTATGTGGAGGAGGGACAAGGAGCAGAGTAAGAAGCTCCTCATTTGGACTGGTTCATTCAAAACTGAGAAGTCAATCAGGAGTTGAAAAGGCAGGAGAGCTTGTTTTTCTCTTCCAGTCTATGAATAAAAAGGGGGAGGAGGATGAGACTTACGAGTTCTAAAAACCTGAAAGAAACATCCAATACTATAAAAGTTAATAATGTTTAATGAAGTAGTTGTAAATGTACAGTATGTTTTGGCAAAAAAAGTCTGTATCCAAAGCATTAGTTTAGTTTAATAAATCTGAAGTGCTGGTTTTGTGTTTAATTAAAATTCCCTTTGCCACCTTAATGCAGCTTGATATAAGCAAAAAACGAATCATCTAGCGAATAAGAAATATATGTCACTATTTTACAGCATACTAAAATGTAGGATTTCTAACAATTGAAATATGTTAAGCTATATATTTTTAAAATATCTATAACTAGTTTTTGTACATTGGAAACGTATGTACCAAATAAACTGTAAAAACTATATTTAGTTGTAAAACAATATGTTCTAATTGTTATATTGACCAATGAAAATATATTTTCCTTTTAAAAAAAACAAAACAAAGAATAAAATGGGAATGTTGATAAAAATCAATTATTTAAATTGGGCTTTAGGCTTGCTGATTTAAATCAACTTGATGTAAATCAATCCACCCTGTTTATAGTTAATTTTTTATCAGCTATTTAACGGATTTAGAGAGACTGTCCAAACACGAGGCATGCACCAACTTAACTAAATCAATTCTAAAAACAATGCATTTAAAACTGTCTAATTTCTCTGTGCAGACTGGCCGGTAACTTAAAAGAACCTCTTCCCCACCAACAGCTGGTTCGCCAGCTGGGGCACGAGTGCAGCTTCCAGCTGGTGAGGAGCTGAGCCAGGGCAGGCCAGCTAGGAGCTGTGCACATACCACCATTGCTTCTCCCTTCCCCTGTAGCCAGGGGGGAAAAAAAAC